TGGACAGAGCCGCAATTAAAGGCAGACACGTGCCCAGCCGCTCCGGGATCCGTCTGCAACGACAAAGGTCCAGGCTGGGTTTCTGTGCGCTTACGGGCCTTGCACTAATGCGACCCTGCAGCACGCTCGCACGTCTGAACGAGTTCCTTAGGACTCATTTACGTTTCAGATGAAAACCCTTTTGCCTCTTTGGTTTAAGAAGGAATACAAATGGTAAAACGCTGCATGTCAACACAAGCCTCTGGCTTCTAAAACAAAGAGAGGGTAACGATGCAAAAAAGATGAGTTGCACGGTCTAGATCTTAAATATAACAATCAATTTTGTAAAACTATGATAGTGACATTATGGCATTAGTCTGTTTGACTAATGTAATAAATAAAATTGATGAGTATTTAATAACCACATGACTGATTCTTCCTTTACTTGGGTTTCACACAAGGGTAATCAAGGCTAATTTCTATTGGCTTAAATAGGAGAATAGGGTCCCACAGAGTTCCACTGCTGTAAGATACTCATGTAAATGAGAACAAGTGTTAAGCCCTTCAAGAATCTCAATCTCTATCCACTCCACCCCGTGAGCCTCTCTGGAGCAACAGGGGATTAGCTACATTCATTTTAAATGAACGTCATTTATTTCAAGTATTTAACCAGGAAATCCCGCTGAGATGATACTCATTTTCTGGCAGATGCTTTGCAGTATCTTGTAATATTATTTTGTTTATTTGCTTTGAGCAGGACCTGGTCTTTGCCTTTTTAACCTACCACACTGGGGTTTTGAAAAAATAAAAATAAAAAATGCTAAGGCCTATCCACATGCCAAATAGATTCTTCAATAGGTTTCATTCTCAAAGGAACACAAGGAATTACTCTTAGTCAAAAAAAAAAAAAAAAATTTCAAGTCTTTTGGGGAACATTCCCAGGTCACAAACACTGTGTGACCACCACAGCCGCTGGGGCTGGACGGAAGCCCCGTTACACACTGGCAGAAGTTGTGTCCAGGTGCAGGTCAATACACGGGAACACCGGCAGCAGTAACGAGTGCTAGACGTGAGCACTCCTCAGCCCTGTCTTCCTTTGGGTCAGAGCTTAACTCCTGACTTGATGTACTATTGTATCAAACACCACTTCGAATGCTGTGGGATTGTATCTGTGTGCTCACTCTGCTTACGTACACTTTCCTGCACAACTGCAAATTCCCAGGCTTTGGGGGTACGGTGCAGCCCCTCTTCTGCTGTTCTCCTTTGCCGAGGAGATCTGCTGAGTCAAACGTCGCAGGGATGGAGACCCCAGCTCTTTGCTTCATTCTGCGGGCACGCAGGCAGAAGCACCGAAACACCTTGAAGCACCCTTGACTCCAGTTTGTTCAACAGCATGGCTCAGATGCCTCCGAAACCACTGCAGGGGCCATCTGCACCACAATCCTGCCGTAAAAGAAGGCTGATCTCATGGGCAGGGTGTTGGACAAGAGTGTTGCAAATCAGGATTAAAGATGACCACATGAAAACAAGCTGCCTGCAGAGCACACAGCTGAATGCAAAGGGGGGTAACCTACGAATTCAATTAGGTCAGACCATGGGGTGAGGGTCTGAGAGCAGGCACAGCAGCAACACAGATGTCTCCAGCAGTGTGGGGGGCACACCACCCCACCAGCAATCATTCGACACGTCAGAGGAGGACAGCCAAGTAAAGAAGATGTCCTTAAAATGACGTCCCCTCTGTCAGCCTCTCCTGTTGGTACTTGCCTGGACTGCCTCACTACCTCACAGCAACAAAACTCATCGTTCATCAGCCACTCCAGAACGCGTCACTTACTCCTTCTGGCCAAGAAAAGGGAAAAACTGGTTCCACGCTTGAGGACAGAAACTGTGAAATCCCCTCGCATTTCAAAGTCATAAGTGCAGCAAGAGGAGAAAGCCACTGCGCCTCCCTACCGAGCCAAATCCTCCGCACTTTAGAAGCTCTGCTGTTCAGCAGTAACTGGTGGACGAAACTATGCAAAACAAATAAGGCCACTGACTGGGCTAATACTATATTTAGTGCAAGCCACTTCCCCTCTGCAGAGCACCGGGCACCCACCTTTTGGAACATTACACTTGCTTGAAAGAGGCAAGAAAGAAAGGCAACTTCGATAAAAAACCCCTTGCTCTCACATAAAAACACCCCGTATAAAAATCGGCGAGCAAGACCTTTCATCCAACTTAAGATCTATTAAACACAGCCTAGCGTCAAGCAAATCCACTGTTCTAGGAAAGCCATCATAAAATTTCGTGAAGGAATGGAAATGCCGTTTAGACCCCAAATGTTGTGCCAGCACAGAGTTGCACCATTTATTTCAGACAGCGATAACACCAGCTCAGCTCCCGCTGCGAACGGGTGATCCAGCAACGCCGCTCACAACAGAGTGCTTCGTATGTGAACCGTTTTTCTGTCTTGGAAATTAAGATAACAGGATAGCACAGCTCTATTTAAAAGCTCAATTACATTTTTTTAAAAAAAAAAAAAAAAAAAAAGGAAACTATTTCAGAGCCTGCTGGTGAGCAAGGTAGAGCAGTGCCCTGACAATTCATTTCTGCTGTGGAAGCTGAAAGGGAATTAGCGGGTTTTCTTGTACTCAGCTGCTCGCTTCTGTCTTGTGGGGCTTAGCTGCTGTCAGATGTGCTGTATGGTCTTGAGAGCTTTGGAAAAACGTCCTCCCTCTATTAGACTGGAAACAAAGAGCAAACTGGAGAAGTTTTTTTGGACTTTGAGTGTACGGATTGTGATGAAGCTGTGAACTGCTGTACTGCAGTTTTTAACAAGACCTGTAACCAGGGAAGGGAGGACTTTCCCTATCGCTCCCAGGCCAAGTACAGCAACCAGCAGAGACAAGGCAGAGAGGTGCCACATCCTTTGAACAGGCTTGAACCCGAGTTTCCCTGTGTCTGAGTACTGCTCTTGGGATCGGAAACACAAGAGACTTTTCCACGTGCCAACTACAGACTGCATTTGAGGCCGCTGTACAGGCACAGCACTCGCAGAGGAAGAAACTGAGGCACAAGATGTCCCTGTCCTTGAAGGCACCACGCTCTGGCCAGGATCAGTCCCCTGCCTGAGGGACACTTCTGTCCTCCAGCACTCGCAGAAATTCATTTACCAGCTGGGAATTCAGAAATATGATATATTTCTGAAAACACGACATTTAGAGCAAGGCATCCCACTTGCAAGTTTAAATAAGTAACATTAAACAGCATACACTTTAAAAACAAACCCAGCAAGCTCTCACTTGTATCAGCCCGGGAAAAGTCCCAAAGCCACCCAACAGCACGTGGCCAGGCAGCGCGTGCTTTCCCTCCACAACCCCTGCGAACCCCCTTTGCAGCTGGTGTCGGCAGGTACGCGAGCAAGGCTGAGCCCCAGCTACACTGCCATGCTGCGTGGGTTGGGGAACGCCTCACAGCCCCTCGTTCATGCTTTTGCAAACAGGGCCAAGTGTTCAGTATGTATCCCTTCCTCAGAGAAAAGTCCTCGCTGGTTGAGCTCTGACAAATGCTTTGAAGCACTTGGGAGTACAAAGATGACAAGTTCGATTGAAGCAGTGTGGGCAGTAGCCTGTCCCAGCTGGAGGAGTGCCAGGAGTAGATCTACGACCACCTCTTTTCTCACCTATTTCCCTGGGAAAATCATGCCTTGGACTGCCAGGGAAGAGCCGCTGGGAAAGCTGAGCTCCACGCTGCTGGGAAACCACAGCTACGAGGCTGAATCCTTCCCCGCGTGAAGGGAACAGCAGCATTCCGCCTTAGAGGAGACAGATGTTCGCCCTGGAGAGCGCTCAGGGGAATCTGCGCTCAGAAACGTTGATTAACTTACACCTGATTCATTTTACTAATTAAAGCCGCTACACACAACAGAGCAGTCTAAGTAGCACGTACGCTGACAGCCTCGTACTCCAGGCTGGCGTGCACACTCATCTCTGCCCTCCTCGCACGCTGGAAGGATCTTGTACAACCAGGCTGCAGTAGGAGAGTCAGGAGATGCAAGGTGGGAAGGGCCCCAGAGAAGCACTCCTCCTGCTCGGTTTTACCTGAGGAATATAAAGCAGTCTGATACACATTGTAAAACTGAGGCTTTTTCCCCCCAAACCATACTCAAAATCTTCTTTTGTATTAAGCCATCAACTTCAGCAGCGCATTCAGAGAGAAAGAGACCTCTCAAGACCGATAATATCAAAACCTTTGGGTTTTGTTTCATAAGGAAATTGCAGCAAACTCCTTTTCTTCAAAGCAGCAGTAAATAAAGGTTAAAAAAAAGGGAAAAAGAGAAAGAAAAGAGAAAGGAAAGAGTAAAAGTTGCAAAAAGACAGACCTGAGGTAAATGTGCTGGTCTGCAGGGGAGTCGCTGGATGAAAACGCTGATAGTGATTCTTTACAGAACACTTTGTACCATGCCTTTTTTACATTCTCTACACACTAAATTGATTCACCCCAAGATAAAGCACCTCCTGCCCGGCTGTATCTCACATACTCCTGGTAGTAGCTCTTCCAGTCCCAGAGGGTAATATTTCCCTGTTTTGCACAGCCTGACAAATACCACATCAGTAAACCAGACATTATCACCTTTGCCCCCGGCAGAATTTGAGACTAGGATGGGAAGAATGATACCACAAACTACCAGCTTGCCCCAGAATATTTTGTTTAAAATGTTGGTTGACATAAAAAAGAAATATCTATTTATCAGTCTCTGCTTTCGTGAGAAATACAAAAAAGACCAGAGGGCTATGATTCTGTTGGGCAGAAATTGATGCTGGCTGTACAAAGCTTGTCTTGCTTAACACTTGAAGATGACTCCAAATGCACACGTAAGGTATCAGAAACTTGGCTGCCTAACACTAAAAGCGAATGATAAGTTCCTTATGCATCACTGAAATCTTTGGAAGAATTGCATTTACTTGTATAAATTTAAGGGGGGGGAGGAAAAAGTAAAATACTGATGGAAAAAAATAAAATAGCTCTGTGCAGCTCACCTTGACCTCGATGAAGTCTGGTTTACCAAGGGATATCAGGTCAGCGTAGGCTTTGAGTTCATCCACATTCCAAGCTTTCACCAGTGTCAGCCTGTAAACAGTGCGCTGTTGCTGAAATAAAGCAAAAATTACATCAGCAACACATTCTGACACAAGGAGGATGTTCCAGATTTGCACACAGCTTCAAGCAGGCAGGGGAAAAAAAAAAAAAAAAATTATCGTTAATTTATTCCAAGAACCCAGGGGCTAAAACAAACCAGACCCAAACCAGGAGCCACCTCACTTGGTCTTTCAAGAAAGCTACTCCACAGCATCTGTGAGCTCAGCCACCTTTTGCTGTACAAAGACTTGTCTTCCCTCTATATATCCCAGGCACTTTGTTTTTACAGGAGCTTTAACTTCATGGGAAGGTAACCAGGAAGTTTCTCTCTCTTTGATTTGCTTTCTCAGGCATAAAATCTCACTGTTAGTTGCTATGCAGATATTTTATTTCCTCCAGCTGGATCATCTGGCATTGGTGACTTTTGGACAGGATGAACAAGACTAGACAGACCATCGTCTGCCCATCTGCGAATTCTTCCAGGACATCAGGTACAATATTGCAGAGAAGAGGCTCTCCCGTCATCAGTTACGCAGCACATTTTATTGGAAGCACAAAGTGACAATTAAAATCACAACCGGGAAATACTGAAAATACCCTGCTTGTGACCTCGCCTTACCAGAAAGGTGGTGCAAGGAACAGACACGGGAGCTGCAGCACCGACGACTACGAGAGCGGCATCCGCCCTCGGTACCCTCTGCAGCAGGGCAGCTGGGTTTCTGCCTGGCAGCATCCCTGCACGGACCTGTCCTCTCCATCCCACGGTAGAGGACGAGCCAGCCGAGCGCGGCAGGTCCACTAGTGCCTCTCCAGGATGCCCAGACCCTTATTTCTGTACACAGTGGCAGACAGCACTCAAATTCTTTCCTTGGAGTTACTCTGATTTTCCCTCTAAGGGCTGCTCACCAGAGAAGTTACTGGTGACAAAAAAACCTTCTACTATCGATATAAGCACTTGGCCACGGAACAAACCCAGTCTCACCGCTTACATCTGCTCGCTTCCATCCTTCCCCTCTCCTTCCCTTCATCTTCCACTAATGTTTTATTTCACTTATCTCTGGAATTTAGTTATAATCTTCAAGCAAAATTGTTTTTTGCATTAACTCATTTTCCTTCCTTGGCACGCCGTAGACTGTAAAAAGTGACAAAAGCACCAGTTTAGCCAGAGTGAAGGAGCACCGTAACAAATCCATGGCGACCCAAGACCCCACAGCTGTGACCAGCCCGAATGCCAAGGCTGGGACTTTGCAGAGCAGCAAGGGCTGGGATCAAGTTCTCCTGCTCCAGAAAGCCCAGGCTTAGTCTCAGGTTAGGAGATTCTCCCTTACCCATTACCATAACGTGCCCAGAGCACAGGGTTACCTGACCTTCAGTGCCGTGTACGGCATTGTTCAGTTTAATACATTTTTCAAGCCAGAAGGATGAGCTAATGCCGAGATCTGCTGCTGAACAGAACTTTCCATCACCAAATCTCAGACCATTTCCCACTCCCATGGCGCTGAGAGCACCCACTGGCCAGGGACAAAGGAGGCACGGTCCTAGGACCCTGATCCTGGTCCAAGGCTATTAAAAAGTTCATGCTATTACCCTTCCCCAGATAAAACCAATACTTCCCAGTACCAGTCCCCTATCTAGCCATGTTTTACTTCTTCAGAGCTTCTAATCTACATGCCTCAGAAGTGAATTTTGTCCTCCATATAAAAATCAAAACACCACTTACTAAAACAACACATTTATGTTTTCCACAGGAAAAAAAAAATTATACCAGTTTGCTATGGAAACATTCCAGATTATTTACTAACAAATGTCTAAAGGACAAACAAATAAAAACCAGGAGCATCTTCTTCCAGCTAACACCCCAACGGAGCAAGGGGCAGGTCTTTGGGGTACATACGTACAGAGAACTAAACCCAATGCAGGCACAAGTGTCCCAACGCACTCGTTGCCTGTTGTCTGGGGAACCTAATGCACCAGGTAAACCTGCAAAATTCTCCAGGGGATAAACATGAATGAGGATTCAGGACAAGAAGGACATGGAGCTGTTGGAGCGAGTCCAGAGGAGGCCATGGAGATGATCGGAGGGATGGAGCACCTCTGCTGTGGAGACAGGCTGAGAGAGTTGGGGTTGTTCAGCCTGGAGAAGAGAAGGCTCCGGGGAGACCTTAGAGCCCCTTCCAGTCCCTGAAGGGGCTACAGGAAAGCTGGAGAGGGACTGGTGACAAGGGCAGGGAGTGACAGGACAAGGGGAATGGCCTGAAGCTGAAGGAGGGGAGATGGAGATGAGATCTGAGGAAGAAGTCCTTCCCTGTGAGGGTGCTGAGGCCCTGGCACAGGTTGCCCAGAGAAGCTGGGGCTGCCCCTGGCTCCCTGGCAGTGTTCAAGGCCAGGTGGGATGGGGCTTTGGGCAGCCTGGGCTAGTGGAGGGGGTCCCTGCCCATGGCAGGGGTGGCACTGGGTGGGCTTTGAGGTCCCTTCCAACCCAAACCATTCTGGGATTCCATACCTACAGGGAGTCAGTGTTTTGAGAAAAGAAATTAGAGGTGGAGCTTCTTTTAAAAAAGGGTCTGTGGAGAGTAACTTTAAAGAATTATTGAAGGCCAAGTATTACAAGAATTAAATATCCAGCCTCCACTTTACACATAGTTTACAAGCACACACCTAAGAACAAGAGACTGCAGCTCTTATGATTTGAATGAACTGGCAAAAGAAAGGTTCAGGCCAAGAGACAACAGTCAACTACAAAATCAACAGTTAATCATTAAAGAGAAAAACAAATACAAAAAAATAAACGCATCATTTACCATATAACAGGGAAAGAAGAAACCAGAGGGAAAAATATCTAATAAGAGGAAAAACACCAATACACGCACTCCTGTCAATCATCTGAAGTGATTAGATAACCAATTAATCGAGAAATGTCTCCCCAAAGGTCAACTCACAGTGGTAAACAAATGCAGGCAGCTTCAGGGCGACAGTAAATACAATATCTGTAGCACCAGCCCCTGCCAGAGGCTGCTGATCCAGAGCCAGTCCTCAGACTGGGAGGTCGGGTCCCCAGTGCAATCATCGGAGCAGGGAGTCCACCACGAAGCGAAGCCTTTAAGGGCATTTCTGTTTTTTGACAGGATGGTTTTTTGCTAAAATTAAGAGCAGATTTCTGGACGTCGCTGTCACGCACAGAAAAGGTAGCTTGGCAATGAGCACGCAGTGAGGGGGACTGTTAAATCCAGCACGAGCAGCATCGCCACTGCTGGCTGAATACTCTGCAGCAGCGGAGGATATAACAAAGGAAAAAAAAAGAAAAGAAAACCTCAACCTTGGTAACACAGAGAAATAAGACACAGGAAATCCATTTGTGGGTGGTGGGATGAAAGAAAATCCACTTGATCTTCCGCCAGCAGGTACGCGCTATTTAGAGAATTTAAACATGACACACAGATAAGAGACTGGACCAGGCAGAAACCGGTCTCAAGCGCTGGAATTAAGGGTAGCGAATAATATCAACAGATGTCTGGAAAGCTCCTATAATATTTACACCCAGCCCAAGCGTGATGCAGATCAACTAGAGCTTGGGATGTCACCTCTACTGAGCAGTGAGGGCAAGACCTTTAGGTGACCGAAGTCCTGGCCGTTCAGGAGGGCATTTGCTACCCTGGAGGACACAGGTCTGAAGCGTCATTTACAGTACTGCCACAGTGCTGGAAACAAGCTTAGACAATGCCACCAAAAAATTCCTGAGATTGCCAGAAGGGTAGAAACCATTTTCTAAGGGCTGGGAAGCACCGCCTGCAGCAATAAAAAATGAATAGCAACTTTGGAGCAGAAGCTGAAGTCAACTGATTGGAGGGAGATGACTCGGGGAGTGCCATGCTGTGATTTCAGAGGACCATGCTGTGTTTCTGAGGGGCCTCACTGCTTAACCCCTCCATCCCCGCTGGCAGAGGAATGTGCCAAACATCTACACCCCATAGGAGACCACACTGGAGGGGAGCGCCTGCAGCTCGTGCTTCTTGCCAAAATCTAGTAGAAACGCTGTATTTTTAAAAAATCCAAGTCTATTCTATTAGAAATGGATGAAATCAGACTGCAAAGACTAACACACATGGTTAGTGAAGAGGAAATAAATACACACTTGGTTCTTACTCGCCAGTCCTCAGCCCTGCACTTACAGCCATCACTGGAACCTCTCTCCCCAGGACGGCTCTCCCTGAGGCAGCACGGAGGAAGGGTTCTTGTTTGCTCCGACACGCGTGGCTCCATCCTCTGCCGACAGAGGACAGGGATCCCCTGGGGTTCATAAACACGGGGCTGAGCCTACGGAGCCCTGCTTCCACCTGGAATCACCTCCAGCACTTGTCAGCTGCTTTGATATATGTCTGGTTGTCTCCCAAACGGCTCTTGAGACTGCCAGAGCAGACAGGGCAGGTTCAGGGAAGGCCACAAAATGCTGACAGCAACTGGAAGATCTGCCCTGCGTCCCAGTAGTTGCCACCAATACAAAGGGAGGTTGTGACGTGAAGGCTGGTGTGAAGGCACGTGGCCATCAACAGCTGCTTCTGGCTTGGAGTAGGGGGACATGCACTCAGGCAGACATGGCCAAAACCCAACTGGGCCAGCAAGAATTTTGCAAAAATAGAAACTTTTGGAAAAAAAAAAATTAAAAAAAATTAAAAAAAAAAATTCCTATGTTGGCAGAGGACATCCATGTGGAATGACAACCACTAAGCAGTCTGCCAGCCTCCCTCCTCTTTCCTCTGGTGTCTGAAGTGCAGTCACTCGTCATCTCGCAAGCTGAGGTAAGCAGGGACACCCTCTGCCCAGCGTCTCTGTGCCTGCAAGAGCTGGCGTTGCAGAGGGACCATCTCACCTCCTCCCTCGCTAATCTAAAAAAAATGGGGTTTAGGGACTAATCCCTCATCGCTCTCCATGCTTTGCTCTTGTAACTCTAACAGTCTGATCTCCCTCCCGCTTTGGAACTAGGCTGAGGCATGAAAACACTTTTCCTGCAAAA